TGCATACAACATCTCCAGAGGAAATCAATTGCAATAGTTACCTGGTTACCTCCAAAGATGTCCTATGATCAGTAATAGTGCAGTCTTAATTGTGTCAGCTCAGAGAGAAGTCCTAATTAGTGCAATAGGACTTCTCATAGGAAAATATGGATAGGATTGATGCATAAGTGGATTGTATTTCAAAGCCTGGTGGGAGAGGTCACAAACCACAGGGCTGGTGCTTAGTTTCTAAAAGCAAAGGTGTTGGAGTTTGAACCTGGCTAGAATCAGGCTTTCTGATTCTACTTGTCATCCCAGATGGGTGGGGTAAAGATTTAGATAAACACTAGGAACTCTTTTTTAATTTAATATTTTAAAATTGTTTTCTTACAAGAAATAGAGTACAGAAAGAGAAAAAAATGTAAAGCAGAAATAAGAATGTCAAGGAATCTTACACAATTATAGAAATTCTGTCTTTCTGTTTATCAATAGTTTGTTGGAGCTTGCAAAAAAAAAATTCTTTAAACCAGTACATTTTCCAATTGCTTCCAGTAAATTATGAATGATCAATATTTTATGAGCTTAATTTTGTTCTGTATTGATTCAACTGCATATAGGAAAATTTCCATTTATCCTTAAATTCTTTGATTGGTCTTCTGTTCACAAAATTAGTTTTGCCATTACTGCATAGACAGTCAACTTATTTTTCAAATCTTCAATTGTTGGGCATTCTGCTGTTTTCCATTTCAAAGCAAGTATAATTCTTGCTGCAGTTATCATATATTTAAATAACTCTGACATAGTCTTTAAGAAAGTCTCTGGCATAATATTCAAAAGCATATTTTTAGCATTCATAGAAAAGTTAATTTTAAAAGTTTTTTGTATTTGCACATGTATCAGCTTCCAAAATCTTTTAATTCTCTCACAAGTCTACCATATATGGTAGCAAGTCCCATGTACTTTACATTTCCAACATCTTCCATTATAATTCTGTCCATTTTTTCTATATCTTTTGGGGTAATGTAGCACTGAAAAAACATCTTATACCAATTTTCTCTTCATGCTTGACTGGCTCTAAATTTAATGTCCTTCTTCCATAAAGTTTCCCATTGGTGGAGCATATTTTCTCTCTCAGGTTGTGTGTCCAAATTATCATACATTTCTTAGCTTCTTGTGTGGGAATGGCACTTGCTGACATTTCAAATGCTTCCAGGCTAAATCTTGGCACTTAAGTGTTAGGCACTGGAATCTGTTTTAAAAACTCTGGTTTAAATTAAACACTGCATATTGTATTCCACAACTACCATTCAAGACAATTGGACCAAGTAGCAAAACAAGAACTATTTTTTCTTATTTTACCACATACAGTGAAATATACTTTTCTGTAGTTCTGGAGATTACATTTCAATTAACAATTACATTTTCTAGAAACAGATGCTTTTGTTTATTTTCCATATCTTATATAATCGTATTCTTTTGCCCAGGCGTAGAACTGACAGTCACCCATAAGAAACTATGCAAGCATCCAAGACTGTTGTTTCACTGTGAGTGTGAAGCAAAGATCCCCGTCACGCAAAAATTCATGATCTTTTCAGTTCAGGCCTTCTTTTGTTTGGGAAAAAAGTATATCCTTTGTGAACAGTGAAACATTTAAAAAACAAGTTTTACTGCAAAGGCAAAACACAGTTCATAGTTATTATCTGCACACTGCAAGTAGGTGTGTCTAAATGCAAAGGCTGCAGGGAGGAAGTGCTCAATGGTTTGTGCATTCTTTCCACAGAATAATTATGCAGCACAGGTTGTTTGTAGAATCAACAGTGCACCAAACATCAGTCAGACTAATTGTTGTAAGCCGCCCCAGGCTTTTTGCGAATGGGGCGGCATAAAAATGGTTTAAATAAATAAATAAATAAATGTCCCAGAGTATCCCAGGGGACTCTGCTGCAGGGTTTGTCTTGTCTCCTCTCCCCAATGTGATTGCTCCCCTTTTATAGTCACTGTGGCTTTATTGCCCTGTTACTTTTTTGATATAACTTTTCACAATCTGTATTGATAGGCCCTTTGAAGTGCCCAAGTAGCACACTGCAGTGACAATCATGGGTTTGCCACCTAGGTTTTTTTTAAATTGTGGCCAAAATTTGCACAAATTTTAATTATTTTTCCCAATGCTAGTTTGAAGTTTCGCAAGCTTGCGACCCTATCACGAATGTGCAGCCTTGTGTCACCAATGCTCTGGATGGTGCTGCCTGTCAAAATACTATCTATGGACTTAGACAAAACAAGGCTGCAAATAGGATTTTGTTACTTTGCTTCTCATTTGCTTTGCCTCTAATTTTATCTATGTTATATTTTATTGTATTTTATCTGTGTGAGCCATCCTGAAGCTTTCATGACAGGATGGCATATAAATACTTTAAATAAATAAATAAAATAAATTTGACAGCAGTCAAGAGAAGAGACACTGTAAAGGAGAGTGAAAGGAACACGGTAAAGGGTGGTAAAAGGAGGTTGGACCTTCCCAATATGTTCCTCTAGTTTTTCTTTGGATCTGATTGCTCTCACTTTCATTTCCTGAAACCTTAGGTGCTCCAGAAAGTGGAAAAGCACAAAATACTCCATTTATGGGAGCATGAAGTTTTGACAGATGTTAAAATCCAAGCCTCTTTTTAAAGCAGGGTGTTCAACATGAATATTCATTTTTTTGTTTTTGTTTTTGGACACGCATCTATGCAGCCATAGGTTAAGAGGGTCTTGTTCCCCATACACAAACCACCCTGCAGGTTTGTATGACACAGCCACCCACCATTGCTCATAACAACCCATTATGGTTAGTTAGCCACAATGTGTTGCTGCGTCATGCAGCTCTGTCAGAGTCAGAGTCTTGCTGCTCTTTAAGGTAACATAAAATTCTTTGCTGGCTTGAGTTATGACAGTTTTGTCCTATGTAGTGCTGTTCACTGTTAATATGTCAGGGCAGAATTGGAGCTTGGGCTTAGAAAGGGTGGTTCACAACTACTCTACAGCATAGCCATTGTTATTATTCCTACATTTGTACATGTTGGAAAGAGCACTAAACCCAGCCATGTCGTTTCAAACAAACCTACAATGCAGTCCACTTTTAAATACAGTGTTATTTTATTATGTACATAGAAACACCTGCTTCACTTGGAATTTCTTCTAATATAGCACCCACAGACATTTCCTTTGATGACAGGTCTGCCTGCCTCTCCTAATTTTTCATTTTAAAAAACCTGGTCTGTATTAACATGAAGGAGTGTTTTCCAGTACCATATTTTTGGGGGTTCAAAAGAATGACTTTGTGCTTGGAAGCTTAGCCGCCCCCCCCATCCCAAATCTGGCTCTTCCACTGAGAATCTTACTTTTCAAGTTACTTTTCAATCTTACTGGTTTGCCTTCTAGGAAATAAGTGTTTTGTTTGGTAACTGGCCATGCCCATGTCAATAATGGGTCAGTCCACACACTCCATGGCACCCATTTTATTTATCAGAATTTTATCCTGCCCCATTAGCCATAAGGTTAATTTTGAGAACACATCCATGAATCCTTCTCAAGATGCTAAACATCCAGGAAGACCGAGGGTCTCATATACCCTGGGCCAATTTGTGTCTATCAACAGCTATTTAGTGAAGGGTGAACACACAGAGCAACAGTGATCAGACATCAGAGGAACTGTCAGACTCATTGTTCTAATATGAGCCAGTGTGGTGCGGTGGTTAAGAGCATGGGACTGGGACTCAGACAATCTGGGTTCGAGTCCCTGCTCAGCCATGGAGCCAACTGGGTGACTTTGGGCCAGTCACAGATGCTCAGCCCAACCTACCTCACAGGGTTGTTGTGAGGATAAGATGGAGGAGGAGATGTAAGCTGCCTTTGTAGGAAAAAGGCAGGATATAAATTGAAAAATAAATAAAATGTGAATTATGTAATGACAGTATCAAAATTTGAAGGATTTATTATTTATATTCCACTTCCCCCTTTTGTATGGAACCCAAGGCAAGCAGTCTTCTCTACATCTTTATCCACACAACAACCCTGTGAAGTAGGTTAGGCTGAGTCTACTGGCCCAAAGTAACCCCTTGAGCTGCATGGCTGAGGAGGGACAAAAACCCAAGTCCCAGCACAGCACGCTAATCAATGTCCAACAGTGAAGAACCTACTTTCCTTTGACAGGATGTTGCTATGCTCCATTTGCACTTAAAACTGGCAAGACCCTCTTGTTAGACCATTTGCATTTCTAATCTGAAGTCCAGGATTGTATGTCAGCTGCCTCTAAAGCTCGATCTGTTTTTAAAAGTTGAATTCTATGCAGCCGGCAGCGAGCTGACTTCAGAGCTTACTCCCAGGTAATTATGTGCAGGCCTGAACTCAGACGTCCCTCAAAACTCAATTGAGCGAGTTTATTAAAGATTTGTCTTCTTTCATTTTAAAGGTGGCGCGCCTAAGCAGTCTGTTAGCACCTCTAAATACAAATCATAAACGGGATCTCTTCACTGGGGGCTGGCTATTCTCCTAAGGATTTGCCTCGATGAACTCCTGCACTTAAAACTGAAGTGCCCCGACCATCAGGATTGCCAAGAATCCTGCAGAAGGCTCTCCGCCCCGCCCGTCGGGAGCGGCTCCGGGCGCCCAGCAAACCGACGGGGCCACGCCCGCGCCGAAGCCCTCTGCAGCTGCGACCGGGCGGCCTAGTTGTGAACTGAATAATAATGCCTCGCGCCACTCCGGCTTTCGCAACCCGAATGCAACGCTACGCCGCACTCCCCCCTGGCGAGGCCTTCTCCCTCATTCCAGAGCACAATGGAGATTGAGCCGGTGGGCGGGACTATCTAGGTTGCCTGCCTGTCTCCATCCTTCAGCCATTCATTCGCTTTCCAGTAGCCCTTGCCCGCCCTTGCACGATTTATGGTTGCTGGGAGACCCTCCTGCCCAATGGGAGGCCGCCTTATTTGCGACCTTTGTGTGGAGTGATCTGACCGGCTGCGGCGAGTGGGCGGAGTTTGCGCTTTCGCTCTTGCTGCTTAAACTTCCTGTCATGCTGTCTCTTGCTCTCGGGTTGCATCATTTCTAGCCGGTCGGCTCCCGCGGTTGTCGGGCCTACAGGCGGGTGAGTAGGTCGCCGTGTCCTGGAATGTCAGGTGTGTTGGGGATCGGGCCCCGGAGCAGCAGGGCTTGCTCTCTTCCGCCCCGATTATTAATGCTAGAAATGTTGGTCCTACGGCCCCTTCTAGTTCTCTGGCTGAATTGCTGTCGTTGAGGGGCTGGGTTGAAAGCGGCCAGTGAATTTCTTAAAAAGTCTCAGGACCTTCTCCAATATTTGAGGATGGGTTTATGTATTGGTAACCAGTGTAATAACCTATAATCGTCTCCTTTCAATGGCATTGATCCCATCTTATAGTTGAAGAAGATGCTTACTCCCCTCCTCCCTCCATACTATTATTGCATGGTAAAAGGCACACTAGCTTGTGCTTCTCAAGCTTGTACTCCACTTTGGTGATACGTTTGGTATCTGTCAAGTGTGGTGCGCTACATCCCATGTCATTCCCCAGATCCATATGGGGATCTGTTTTGCATCACATTTGGAGGGTACCAGATTGGGTTAGGCTGTTATATTATTTAAAAGATAATTGTTTAATTGTTTCAAATATCTTGATTTATGAGGTCTGAGCAACTTGTAGGCCAAGATTTCTGAAGGGCCACAATTCCCATTGCCCCATAAGTGTGGTTATACTAGCTAGAGGTGATGGGAGCTGTAGACCAAAACAGCTGGAGGACCACAAGGTGCCCACTGTTGCTTCATAGCTGTTTCTGTAGAAGCTGATTCAGTGGGGTATATGGTAGAGGGCATATTTTGACTGTTATGCTGCTTTTATCTGCATAAAAGCAAAAAGATTATCAGAAAGACACCCTTTTTGACTCTGATTGGCAAAAGCTTACCTAGACCTTACAAACTCCTACACAAGTTTCACTTTTGGATGTAGCAACAGCAGTATCACAATCAGGGATCTAGAAGACTGGTGCATCCTAGTGTAATATCAGAAGGTGTTTTTAGATGCATTGGATCAAATCAAGGGCCATCAGGCTTGCAAGTTCTCCTTTAAAAAAAAATCCTGTGATATACCAGTCAAAGCCTCATACAAAGGGCATGCAGTTACAATTAAGAGAGCTCCGAGTCCTCAGCCACACAAAAAATTCAGTTTGGGTTATCGCACACTTATTTCAGTGCTTTAATTTAGTGTAGGAAATGACATTTTCTTGCTGTCATTGTTAAATGGTTGGGAGTCGGAAATCTATGCTGATCTACTGCAATCGCTTAGAGAGCTACCAGGAAATCCCGATTTGGCTTCAGTTTGTCCCAGGATTATATATGCTATAGCATCAGTCATCCTCCCCTTTCCCAACTTTTAGTGCATTTCAGCGTATTGATCAGAGAGTTTTAGTTACTGAGTATAAAGAAATGAAATAAATGCATAATTGGAAAATGGCTGTAGTTTATCTCCTGTGCTTCGCATGGTACCTCTACCCCATAGAATTCTCTGCAAGCCATGCTCTAAGAAAGGGGATATTTTCCTTGGACTTCAGAAGAGCAAAACGGCTGCTAGGGATAATTGGTATTTGTGGAGCTGTGGTAGTGCAGCAGGAGCAAGCTTGTTCCGTTTCTATACTGCCCAAGGACTGAAGATCTCTGGACAGCTTGCATCCATTTAAACCTTAAAATACAGCATGATAAAAATGTTTAAAATGATAATATAAAACCCAAAATCAAACTTAACTGCAGTGTGAAAATTTAAAATACAGTAACTGATATTAAAATGAACCTTGGTATCCATATTAGGCAGTTATGTTCCTCATTCTTCTCTATCTGTTCCTGTATCAGCATGGAGGTGGTAGCCTTATACAAATAGTAATGGCCTTTATGCTCAGTTGTACTAAAGAGCCACACCCATAGCATAGGAATTGCCTCTTGTGACTCCCTTGCTATTCATACAGCTGGAGTACTGAACAGTGCCATTGCTTTGGCTTTTGCTGGATCCCCACATGTGCGCTTCTCCACCTCTACAATCCAGATCTATTAGCAGAAACCTTCAAAACTTCTTTTGCTGCAGCTGTTGCACGCATTTGCTGCTTCTATTGATTTTTCTTTTGTATTTATTTGTACCATCCTCTGACTGTCCATTCTCCTCACAAAAGGGCCAAGAAGGTGACTATCAACTTAAAGCAATGTAAAAATGTGAATATGCATTCTGTTGTCACTGCTGTGACCACTTATGCTATTGTAATCTTAGTTACTTCTACAGAAAATCATTTATCCTTATGACTTTCTCATTAAGGGCAAATAAAATTATGTAGAAGTTTGGAATCCCCTGAACTCTGAGGTGTCTGATCATTCAGTACAGAACAGGAAGACTAGTGGAAGTGATCTTTACCTCTGTCCTCCAGCCCTGTAGATTTCACTAGATGGGCTTTTTACCCCATTTAGTGAGGGTGTTTGAGAGATGCTAGAAGGAGGTTCAGGATATCCTGGTGTCTGCACTCCCTTCCCTTTTCTCCTGAGGTGAATTTTCTGAAGCTGGATGTGAGGGGGTGAGTGAGAGGACTGGATTCCCAACTGTTCCAGGGTTGGAGCACTGCCACCAGCCTCAGACACATTTTATGAGGAATCCTGTGGTCCCAGGGATCATTGCATCACTCTCTTACAGGCTCAGTGGCCCCGTTTGCATGTAATGACAACTCATGGATGGCTCACTACTTCAGCTTTGAATAAGTTTTCATCAGCAGCTTGGGAATACCATGTTATCATGGGTATTATGTCTGAAGTTAGAACCCTGTTTTTTGAGAGCTAAAAACAATCTGGTGTCTGAACCCATGGTTTGTAGTTGGGTTAACATTTTGGATTGTTTGCCCCTCAGCATTCCAGAGTTCAGGGCTCACATATTGCATCCAACAGCCCAGGGATTAAGGAATAAGTGAATACTTAAGGTGCAATCCTATGCAAATTTGACAGAAAAAAGGTATTCAATTCCCAGCATGCTCCAGCCAGCTACACTAGCTGGGATATTCTGGGAGTTGCATGTTCGGGCAGAAAAAAGTCCTACATCACATTGCATCCTTAGTCATTTTTCCAGCACCTTGGTCTATGAAATTGTATCTCTGTGCACAAAAGAAGCCGGTCAGGGTGTGTGTGTGAGAGAGCGAGCGAGGGCATGTTTATTCATCAGCTGGAGCAGGGATAGGTAGCTTGTGACCCATGAGTTGTTTTGTTTTACAGTTATCATCAGCTGTGGCCAGTGTAGCCAGTGCTGAGGGACTATGGGAATTGTAGGGCAGAAGAGCTGGAGGGCCGCAAGTAGCACACTGCTGGCGTTCGGTTTGTGGGAGAACACGCCTTTGAATTCAGTTAAGGTTGAACTCATTTATCTCAGCTGTGAAATTACGCACTGTAATATGTATTGGTCAGTATAATACTTAATATAGAAATGGTTTCAACATTCATTAATATTGTCTTTGTTTTTTGTAGGTTGGAAGATCACTGTTCTGTTGATAGAAACTGTGATACAACATCGATTTCCTCTGGATGTTCTTTTCTTTTAAAAGGAGTGAGTGACATAGCATTCATTAATGAATTGCAGGATACATGATTAATTACAACAAAATTCATATGCAAAGAGAACAAAAGGAATGTAATCTTATGGTACTCTTTCACTGATAAGCAAGATGACAAGTATAAGTTAGAAATGCAATTTAGAGCTGCCATCCTTTCATGCTAAAAGATTACTTGAATTTTAGACTTTTCTTTTGCATTAGAAGAAGCAATTAATTATATAACTTGGCCTTGGTTCCTATCATATATCCAGGAAGTAGCTTCACAATAATGTTTACCTTCTCTGATGTCGATTATCTAACCATCTATTAATGATGGAAAGGTATTCAAGCAATATTAAACTCTGCCTTGGCTTTAGTTTTCCTACCCCTTTAACAGTACAAATCTTTACCAAATGAGAATAGTGAAAGTCTGTCCTATGCACCTATACCAGAGAGTAATTTGTTGCGTATGTGTATCCTTTCTTCCGTCTGAAAATTTTCAAAGTACATCAGTATTAAAAACAATCATCAGTAATATAGGACTGTACTTTTTAAAAACTAACTTTAAAAATTTGAGCAATAAAACATATCTAAAAAAATCAGTGTGGAAAAGTCCAAGCGTATCAGTCGTCATCAAAAGACATTAGTCTGCACTAAACAAGCTTACCTGGGGAGATCAGTGCACACTTGGGTGCCATAAAATTCTTTTTCTGGCCACCACCCACACCTCTTCCAAAGTTCTAAACATAGGAAATACTGATGTTGAGTTACAGCTTGGGCTAGTTCATGTAGGATTCAGTGGAACTCCAGAAATACGCACAGGATTTTCTTGTAATGCTGTGCTAAGTATATAACTGTCTTTCATTGTCATTTCTCATTGTCAATTCATTATTTGTCTGCTGTATACTTATATATGTGCCCTGTGGTTACTGGAGACTGTTTGTTCAGTGCAGTGTTCCAGTTAGAAAAATGGGCCTAAAACAATACTCTGACTTATGCATGGAGCCTGATATTTTAGCAGCCTCCATAGCCCGGTCATTGTTACACTTTCTGGTTGCCCATATGCACAATTCTTTCTGGTGATAAGAATGTTTAGTATTTATTAGTGTACCTCATTGCCTATGTGTATATAAAGGGTCTTCTGAAGGAAGTAAACATTTGACTAGTTCCAATAAGTAGCATAAAATATGCACTTGGTAAAGACATGGGTAGTTGGATTTTAAACCTGGCCTTTACTTTCCAGTATCTACAGCATGCACAAACCAACGAAGCTAAGATAGCATCTGTATCATACTGTTCTTTCAAGCTCTCAAAGTTCTTTTGCTTACACATTTTAGTCAGAGCCTTATTAACAGCTGGGCATATTTTATTTTGCCCTTTCTGCTTAATGGGGTCGTCATGTTAAATACACTAAGGAATGAATGAACAAAGGTGCACATTTAAGGTATACGTTTAGACAGGAAAAGGTCTACAAATCCCAGCATGCTGGAAATAAGCCCATTTCTGTTTAAATGTACACATTCTAAATGTTGTGGTACAGTAATTAAAAGTGCTGGATTATAACACACTGGCTCACAATTCATACAAATGTACCTGCTGGGCTGTAACGATTAGAGACTGTGACTGCTAGATCAGTCTATATCAGTGGTGGAGAAGTTATGGCATGCATGCCACAGAGCCTTCTCTGTTGGCACGTGAGCCAAGTCACCCCAGAAGCTGAGCATCGGATAACAGCGCACATAGAGGCCATGCGCATGCTCTTAAAGGAGTAGCGGTGCCAGGCGATGATGTCACAAGCTGCGACTCATTATCCGCGACTTGTCCAAGCTTTCACATGGCTGGTCAGTGCACTGCCAAGGATCTATATATGTTTGTATCATTGAAAGCTCTGTTACTGTGTTTTTCTTTTAAGACAAAAGATGTTAATGTATGAGTTGTTTTTTCAGTATCAGGTTTTATTGTAGTGTTGACACTTTATGATAAATGAGTGGGTTTTGGGTTGCAATTTAGGCACTCTGTCTCTAGAAGGTTCACCATCACTGGTCTATATTATACTAAGTGATCTATTTTACAGAAGACATTGCTATATAATGCATACTGTTTAAGGGGAAGATGGGTCTTAACTGTCCATCTATTGCTTTATTTCACATAGGAAAATGATAGTTCAACAAGTTCCTGAGAACATAAACTTTCCACAAGAGGAAGAGAAAATATTGCAAATTTGGAACAAACTTAATTGTTTTCAAGAATGCCTGAAACAGTCAAAAAATAGACCTAGGTAAGATAAGCTTTTAGTTTTGTTCTGCAAAGTAACAATAAATAGGCAACAGCTGCCGTTACTCACAGTTCCCTTCAAATTTGAGGTGGTTGCTTCTCATATAGACATAATCAACATTTGATCATTTTGAATATTTGCAAAAGCAGCATTGAAAGGATCTTTGGTAGTACTACACGAAGTTGGGAAGCCGTTATAAATATGACATTCACTAATACCTTCACTTATGGGATACAGATAGTAAATAAAGTATTAAAATCCTTTTTCTGGTTTCAGAGATGATTTTTTTCAAAATGTGTATCACTTGATCTCTTATATAGGTTTACATTCTATGATGGACCTCCGTTTGCCACAGGACTTCCACATTATGGGCACATACTTGCAGGAACCATTAAAGACATAGTAACTAGATTTGCTCACCAGAGTGGATTTCATGTGGATAGAAGGTTTGGTTGGGATTGTCATGGTTTACCAGTGGTATGTTGAATGCTTTCTTTTGTGCATATAGTTCCTGGTTGTCTGTCAAGTCAGATTTCTGCTAAACTGATGTAGCACTCCATTTTAATCTTTTTTACATCACAGAAAGGCTGGTGTTATATTGTTTTGATAGCAATTTAGTCATGGAGGTGAAATGCATTATTTGGATCATTATTTTATTGGCTTGAAAAAATAAACTTAATCTCTTTGAATTTGGTCATGAGTGGTGCTCCTCAGTTATTTGTTTCTTGATAAAAGATACTTTCTTGAATATGGCTTGTTCCACTAGTTCAGGAATCAGGACTCCTTACTGTGATCCTGGAATCCTAAGAGATCATGTGTTTGTAAATAGTGTATCCAAATTTCAGACTAACTTATCTTGTCAATAAATCACTATGACCTGGCTCTTCTTCAAACAACCAATGGTATGCCCAACTTATGATAGGACTTTCTGTTGGTTGTTTCCACATCCCTTCCTCTCCTTTCTTCTGAGTTGTCTTGTGGTTGTTCCAAGGGATCCCACAGCAGCACTGACTTGTCTGCCTGTCCCTGATGGAATTGGAAGCATCTGTTTTCAGCCCACTGCCACTTTTTTTATAATTGCATCCTCCTTTCTCCCCACCCCTAGAGATTGTAATCTCCACCTTGATATCTGAGTTTTTGATCCCCATTTTGACAACCCCTTCAAGTCCCCAAGTGGCAACTTCAAGGGGTGGGCTGTAGTTGCAAACCAATTTTGAATTTTTTTTTTTTGCACCTCCTAACGTGCATAGATATTTGCTCTTCATTCCAGACTTTTGCAAGTGCATACTTGCAAATGCAATGCAATGTCCATTTGTCAAAGTGCTGTTGTCAAAGTGCTGTCAAAAGACAAGCTGTCAAGCCAAACTTAAAGGTGTGAGAGCTCTGCACTTCTGAAAAGGTCAAGACAGGAGGTTACCTATTTTCAGACCTCCCTAAGTGTGCAGGTGAATACTGCAAAAGATTTAAGAAGTGCACAAAAACCCATGCACAATAGTGGGTGCATATTTTTTTTGAAAAAAATCATTTGCATCAATGCATAGGTCCTTAAATGCCGTGGCTTTTAAAACAGAGATTGCCAAACAAGGCATGCTACAGGAATTGGTCTGTGTTTGCATGACATGACAACTTAGCATTGCTGACCACCCATGATGGGTGGTTGTGCCATGCAAACCCAGTCAGTGTTATAAACTTCAAAGTGGTAATTCTAAATGGGCAGGCTTCTGTTTGATAAATCTAGGTATTGTTAAATGATTTATAAGTAGTTATTTGTAAAACAAGAATGGCAGGATATTGCTGCTTTTTTTAAAGGGAACTTGCAATTCAGTATCATGTGGCTGAGAAATCAAATTTCTCACTCAGTGGGAATGACTTTGCAGTGAATGGCAACATATTCTTTGGCTGAGAAGGTATGAACCAGGCATTCTGGTTTGTTGTAGTCTTCTCTTTTTGAATAGTGAGTTTCAAAAAAGAGCTATGGAAGCTTTAGTGCTACGTTGCTAAATTATTACTGAGCTTTCTTTTGCTTTTTGTTTCTTCAGGAATATGAAATTGACAAAGCACTAGGCATCAAAGGACCAGAAGATGTTGCAAAAATGGGAATCGCAGAATATAACAAAAATTGTAGAGGAATTGTCATGAGATACTCACAGGAATGGAAGGTAAGTAAATGTATCATTTTTGAGCCTCAGCCTCCAGAATTCTTCAAGCATTAAACATATTGCTGTGCAGGTTTCTTTCTTCATACCTGATCCATATACATATGCTAGTGTTGAAAAAGCTACTTGTGTCATGTGTATGACTTGGATGTGCCCAGTGGGATACTTGATATTGAACAGCAGACCTCTCCACCCCATGTTATAGTACAAATTATGTTAGAAATTCTTCCATTTCAAATGTCTCTTCCCTTGCGAGGTAGTGTCATGTTAAACAAATAGAAGGCAACCACCCAAAGACCCACTGGGCTCCCAGAACCAGTTGAGTGATTTGGGGAGTCCCAGCTGATAAGTACTAGCTGGCTAATAATATAACCTAGTGCCTTTTGGGATCTCCTCACAACACTGAGAGTTGATGCCATATTACCTTGAATTTTGCCCTAGGGAAGTCCAGGGAAAATTGTATGAAGTCAAAAGATTAACTGCATGAGGTGTAATATAATCATGGCTTGTGGGACTTTCCTTAGTCATTGCAAAACAAAGGCAATTCCTAAAGTACTGACTTTTTTTCTGGAGCAGAAATCCTTTTCCCAATTACTAGAAATAAAAATAATTGGGTTTTTTTTTTCTGTTGCTGGGTTGTTGTTTGAGTTGTATTTAATTTCTTTACAGGCCAGTGTTATTAGGCTCGGACGATGGATTGACTTCGACCATGACTATAAAACTCTCTATCCAGAGTTTATGGAGTCTGTGTGGTAAATATCTTTATCAGACATTTCTAGTAAGCTTAATCAGCAGAAAGAAAGGATGGGGAACTTGTCTTCCTTGTGTTGTTGAGCCAAACTGTATGACTGTTGGCCGTAGTGTCCCAGACTCATGTGAGCTGAAATTCAACAATGTCAGGAAAGCTGCATGTTCCCACCTGTGTCACAAAGGAAAAAAAAAAGGCAAATGAGAGTCTCCCTTCCCCAATACAAGTCTCACCTGTCTGTCCTTTCAGAAAGGATTTCTTAGGCTCTTTGACCAGGTTGCTGATACTAATACTTTTTTTAAACATGGTGGCATGGAAATGAAAAGCATAGCATATGCTAGCTGAAATGTTCTGAGTTGTATTAGATCATATGCAAGTTATTAATTTACATTTAGTTTCTATCTAAAAGATAAACACCTTTTAAGTTCAGCAGGTACTTTTCCTGTACATGCAAAGCTGGACTCCTTCTGTTGCAGGGGTATTAGTAAGCTGTTCTAAAAAGATGAAAATAATCATGGAGAGAAAGCAACCACCCTGACCTCTTTCTCTGCACTTGGAGAAAATTCCACAAGGGGGTATAGTTGACTTCGCTTTGACTTAGCAGCTTCGCTTATTTACTGGCATAGCCTGTGTGGTGTCTATTAAATTTATGTCTCCTCTTTCATAGTGTTTCAGAAGTCCTCTGTCCACCTGCCCTCTAGTAACAATGTATTATTCTTTGGAAAACAGACATAAACTGAAACAACTTAATGTCTTGTACATGTGTAGAGTATCCATTCTAAACCTTAGGGCAGCATCTAATAGGGCTCAACCGCTAACCCGGTTATGATTGATGTTACACTAGTGCAATATATAACTTGCTATAATGTTAGTGGTTGAGCCTCATTGGATGTGATCTTTAGTGTGTAGAGACCTTAGCCTCTGGAAGGAGTTTCCAACAACCTTCAATCTCTTCCAAGGATTTCACACTGTTCTGTACTTGCCATTAAACTTGCAGGTTTTACAAAATACAAATAGCTTGAGCTGGTGGGGGTTGATAATTATCAGTGTTGCAGTGGGCATGGAGGGGAGAAATATAATCTTTTCCTCATATTTTGAGGTCTTTAAGAAAATCTCTTCCCTGAAGCTGCTACTTTGAATTTGAATTTGAATACAATCCCTTCCTGGTTTCAGAAGAAAGCTTTTTCCCCTGGACCTGAGGGCAGAGAAGGAAACAATCAGCCTTTCCTTCTACCCCTGTGCAGTTCTGATAATAATTGGTTCCCCTACAACAGTTGCTGTTTGCATTTTTCCAAGACCTGCACATTATATGTAAAGATGAATTTAATGTCATACTTAGTTTGATTCTGAATTATTCATTTTGTGCTTTGTTTTTGTTTGTTTTGTGCATGCCAACAATGAAAGCTGTTCTGGTATGTGCTTAGGAAGAGCAGGGCTTCTAGAAAAGTCAGTAGGCATGGGTGCATGCAGAACCCAGAGGGCCAGGGCTGAGGTATAGATGGAAAAGCAGCAACTGTTGCTCTGTTGAGATGCTTAAAGTGTGCTTAAATGTGCCAGGACTCACTGAGAAGTGTGAAGAAAAATTGGTAAGCTACAGAGGTAGCCAGGCTGAATAATAAGGCCAGAGAGTGGCATTTTATTGCTTGCGTAGTAGGGAGGAGACTATTGAGGAACCCACAACATTCAGCCTTCTCATGAGGAAGGGAAAGCACAACTGGCTATCTAAAGATGTTGGAGGTGCAAGGAAAGTGTGACAGCTATCTTAGCTTCCATTCTTCTCCTGTCTTCCACTGATGTCTGTAATCCAAGTTCAGAGAATAATGGGTAGTCATGCTGAATGGTGCCTTTAAGGGCGCTAAAATACCCTCCAAACCGATTTCATAAGTTTAAAACACTTATGAAGTATTTATGAGAAGACTTTCTCCAAGCATTCCTGTACCTGTATTCTATGATGTTCGAAAAACTTCTTAAGATGGAAAAACTGAGTTTTCTTTACCTTTTTAACTGTGCTTTAACAATTTTTGTTCTGTGTAGTGTACTCTGGGTTTGGAAGATGCCTCTTTCAGGATAAAATACTAAAGTTAATGTTTTATTTATTATATTTCTACCCTGCTCATCAGTCCATAGGCTCCCTGGACAGTTTACAGATCAAAATTACAGTAATTAGATAAAACATGTATGATAAAATCACAACAATGCAATCAATAAATACTTTTATATAATCAATCAACAATACAATAATCAACCTTCCACAACTATAGCTAAAACAATCTTGGAGGTACAATGTTGTAGAGTTGCAAGAAAATATTTACAGTGAGTATTGAGGGACCAAAAAAAAAGCACTGAACAGAGTTTTTAGTTTTTAGTTTGCATGCTACATGTGCTTTATTGGCTTGACTCTCTGCCAACTGACAACTCTTTTCTGTTTGAATATTATTTGCATTTTTTCCAGGTGGGTTTTCAAACAGCTGTATGACAAAGGACTAGTATACCGAGGAGTTAAAGTCATGCCTTTTTCAACTGCATGTAACACACCCCTTTCTAACTTTGAAGCTCATCAGAACTATAAGGTATGTAGCCTGGTATATTAAAGAAATGTGTGTAGTTGCTGTACTGCTTGTGGCTTTAGAAATAACTTGATGATGTCAGAGTGTGGCTTTATCAGTATTCAGTGATCTTGTAAGAACATATTTGTAGTATTCAGGTCTAAGTTGATGGTTGACGTACTTACCATCTGGTATATATACTTTGTCAGACCACTAAGAGCAAGTGTAGATGTATGATCTGGGCTTGCCTACCACAGAGAAGCCAATTGAAGCAAAAGGAAATATTTCAGCACCTCTATTCTGTATGAAATATACTTACAGATTATATTTTGAATCCTCCATTTTTGATATATTGATATAGGTGAGGAGCTAACATAGATCCAGAGTGTTGGACTTAGGAGATCCAAGTTCTAGTCCCTGCTCAGCTGTGAAGCTCATTGGGTGATTTTGGGCCAGTCACTATTTGGGTTTGCTTGTTGCAAGAAGCTATGGTCATTTTTTACCCCTGTCAATCTATTGTGTTGTCTGGATCCAGTCATGGCAGTTCTACATGGCACCTTTTAGTGTCCTGAAACTATGGAGTGGATCAACAATCTGTTCCAAGGTTTTCATGCTTCTCTTCTTAGTCTGACTGCCTAGACCTGGGATCTCCATTTTACCATAGTTGGCATGGAAACACCATAGAGTCCTGTGGAGCAGCCATCTCTACTATTTGCTCCCTAGCAACACTTGCTTGCTTCCTATTGGTCAAGCAAAGTCCCCATTTCCCTGTTTACTTTTGGGAATAGGGAGAAAGCAGATGAATGCACAGAGGGAAAGGAATCAGCTTTTAAAATCAGAAGTGAATTTCAGCACCTCTATATGATGGCTGTACAGTTTCTACATAGCCATGACGGCTTATATTTTAGAATTACTAAGCTTACAATCTTATATATTACCTAGGAGTAAGTCCCATTAAACTCAGTGGTGCTTACTTATTAGTACACAAACTATACTGAAATCTAGGTAAACATGATACTTTGCTCTCAGCTTGGAATTTTTAAAATTGTAAACCTTACTTTATTTAACATGATCTGGTAGTCTGTGTGGACAATGGTGTTAGCTCAGTACTTTTTTATGTCATCCTTTCCCAGCTTGGTGCCTCCAAATGTTTTGGCTTACAACTCTTAGTGTTCCTGACTATTGGCCATTCTGGCTAGGAGTAATAAGAGTTAAAAAGATTTGGAGGATACCAGGTAACGAAAGTTGGTTTATACATTTGTTTCCACGTTTGATGCATGATTCATTTGTTGTGCTAAGTGATGAGAATATTGATGCCCATAGTCCTTGCATTCAGTATTTACTCAGTGATGCTTAAAATAAGTTAATTTTCACTGTTCAGCTTCATTTTTTTTTAATTTAAGGATGTGCAAGATCCTTCAGTCATTGTTAACTTCCCATTAGAAGAAGATGAAAGCATATCTCTAGTTGCTTGGACAACAACACCTTGGACTTTGCCTAGCAACCTGTCCCTCTGTGTTAATCCAGACTTGCAATATGTGAAGGTGAAAGGCAAGTGCAAAACATGACAAGACATTCATGCTTTTTCTGGTGGGTGCAAATGGCATCTTGGAAGTATGCTGCAGTTCATTCAATGGGGCTTGGCCCCAGGAAAGAATCCATAGCATTGCAGCATCTTATACCAATCCATATAGTGTATTTACTATTGTGTTCATCTGCACATAACATTTTATTCCAAGACTGTTTGAATGACTGATTTACTTGCCTGACAAGTGGAAGAGGAGTTTGTGGCAGGCAAATGGCTATGCAGCACTGATCCTAAGTTTGCATGCGTGTTCTGTCATCTCTATTTGTTAAAACAGAAAGAATCTGAAGGTAGTGTCCTGCTGTTGTCATAATAAATCTCAGAAAGGCTGTCTAATGGAGAGAATACAGTGGTTACATAAAGTGTTTTCCTTCCAACTCTTGTAGCTTTTTAAAAAACCCTTTGATGGTTTATCAAATTACTGTGCCCTCTGATTTAGTTTGCCTTCTAAATATTAATCGGAAAATGTCCTTATAAGGGAATATTTATCTCTCAAAACATTGTTTGCTATACTCTGCCCTTCAGGCTAAGCCTATCTACTGACTAAAGACAGATTTTCCACCCTGAGGTCCAGCTGTGGGAAACTTGTTGGGGACAACAAGGGTGATGTAACTTGCTGTTAAGCATAGTCCATTTGGTTCTCCTAAATTACCCATAAAACATTTGCCGAGTACACACTTTCCCTTATCCCTAGGGCAGAGGTGGGCAGCATGCAGTCTAGTGAGCTGAATCTTGCAGTCTATTCCCAGTCGCCAGCCCCTGTCTTGGGAAACTTGAATTAAGCATTTGTTAGATGCCCTTCAGCCAGTGCAGAGTGCATTTCTCCAACCAGTTAGTTACTGTTGCTTTTATAGGTGCTGTCCTACAGAGCATGGGTTCTGAGAAGTTTCCAGTACAAAGACTGAATTTGACTTCAGAGGAGGGCTTGGGGCTTCATTCCCAGCAGTAAGGGGGGAACAGTCATGTTCTTTATGCCTTACAATAGGAAGCACTGTGTGCTGGATCAGGTCTGCTTGCCACAGGTCAGTCTACAGAGCAGAAGCAAGCCGTTACAACCACAGCTTAGTCTTAGGCATGCAATCAGCCTGAGTGAGTGCAGATTGGTGGAGTGCACTTTTATTCAGAAGTAAATCACATTACACCGCACCCTTATCAGGTTTAAGAAGCAGGAAAGCACACAAAGTGGAGCGTTTTGCCTCTTACAAGTCAAAGCAGCTCAGAGCCATGCATGCTCCCTCAAAACTGAGCACAAGCCTAAGGCAGGGGCAACAAAGGGGAGTGCTTCAAAGTACATCAGTCACTGATGTTCACTAAAAAGTCAAAACTTTCTAGTTTTGGAGGCTTCTTCTCTACTTCATGTATTTAGAAGGAAAAATGACACTTGCCAGGAAAATGGATTTTCCCTTCTCCCTGTCAATCACTGTAACTTAAAGAAGCAAAGCAGTACTTTTTAAAAGGTCTTCCGTGTTTACATCATATTAATGAAGTCATTTTCTTTAAAGCCTAATAGGCAGGCACAAGAGAGAATGTTGAACCCCGCAAGCTGCGGAGTGCTGACCATGAAATCCCAGTGGAACAGACTTGGTTCATGGGTTGGAGCTCTTAACACCCCTCATAGTGAGACTCCTCCAACTTCAGCAATTAGGAAAGGGTCTCTTAGGATGATGGTTCCGGGGACACTTCTGTAAAAAAGAGATACTGCCCAGACAAACATGTGTATGGGATGATCTCAGTCCTTTGAACATTGTTTTGTGAACTGCTCTGAGGAGTCTGTGCTGTTGTTCTCTGAAATCCAATTGACCAGTTAACTTACCTGGGTTTTTATGAAGGAAGCACCAGTACGAGCTTGGTTCTGACCAGGTCTGCCATCAAGGGAAGGCAAGGTCAGGATCTTGTCAAGGGCTCACAGCCCTCCAAGGGCCAGCTGTCAAGAACCACTGGCGTTGTTCCTTCTCTTCACCATTTCCTTATACTTGTTCACTGGCCCAGATGATGGTGGTGAGAAGGAAAAGCAGTAGATGTCACTGTTTACTTGCTCACTGGTTCTTTGCCTCTTGAGCAAGCAAGCAAGTGGTAACAATAACCAAGAGGGTGAGGAGCAGTAACATCTGTTGCTAAGGAGATGAAGGAGAAAGGGGATCACTAAAGGAGAATGCCTTCCCAAGGGGGCACAAAAATCTAGAGCTGGGACTTGTGCTGGACAGGAACTGTTGGCTGGCAAGAAATATGAAGAGAGCCATCAGCAAGAGCAGTTTGTCTGCTCCTACTTTTCATCCATTCAGCATTTGTGGTGTGGTGACTTTTGGACATCTCGTGACACCCATAACTATGTCAAGTCAGAGGTTATGTCTGATCTGTAAATCTGTTTCTTTTAGTAACAAGTTTGTCAATTTGGACATCAGACCTCATCATGGTTAAGCTTCCTATACTCAAGTTTTGTGTGATGTCTGTGTTGGGCCCAAAAGTCTGTGCCAATATGTATTTCAAAATTGATTTCTTTATTGTAGAAGAGCACTATATTTGCACTGTGCAGGCAAACTGGTCAAAAAATACTGAGTACTTATATTTTGGTTAAAAGAATTGAGTCTACTCTCTTTTGTTCTTTTCTATTTCTATAAGATTGCAACAAAATATTAACTTCTGTGATTTTTCTCTAGATAAAGATACAGGAAAAATTTTCATTTTGATGGAAGCTAGGCTGGTATCCCTCTACAAATCTGAGAGTGACTATTCAGTACTCGATAGGCAAGTAACAGTATTGTCAAATGGGTGCTTTTAAACAAAACAAATAATACACACATTTCCAATTCAAAATCTTTATAAATAACTCTGTAACTCTGTAAAAAGTAGGAGAACTGAAGAATTGTTAGTTTTTCTTAATTTTGTAATTTAACCTATGGAAGTTCCTGTGTGTGGTACAGTCTCGCAAGGGGTTTGGTGTCTGCATTGGATTTGAATTTTATGCAGTTGCTGCTGATAAAGTACTGAAATTGCTTTGGAAATCAGGTTAGCAAAGTAGGGATTTGCAATTCAAAATTTAACTTGGATATTAGCATTCTGATTTGCCTTGTACTCTTATAGGCATCATCGTTTCTATCACATTAAGATGCCTTCCATAAAACCATAGAAATAACCCACAAAGATCCTGATTGTGTTAGAGGAGCAGGGTTTCCATCTTTTTTTGTTTGCCCCAACAATTATTAAGGCTATTGATAATATAACAAACTGCACCCAAATAAATAAATAAATCACCTAAACGGTTTGTTAAGAGTCACAAATGTTTCCTAGGCATTGCAGTGTATCATCCTAAAAGCATGGTGTAGCCATTCACTGGCCTTTGCAGCTGCTTTTTTTTCTTTGCCAACATCTTCCTAGCTGATCTCATTTTACAGAAAGTTAGGTAAAAACCAGACAGTGAATTGCTGTAAGTTATCGTGAGGTCAGGCAAACATTAGGTGTATAATGTAGAAGCATATACCTTTGGTTCTGCTGTTCTATTCTTAACTGCTCCTTTGCTTTGGTAAAAAAGAAATATAACTTTTACATTGTACACCTACTGTTAGCTTGTTATGTCACTTCATTTATCTCTACAAAACATAATCTACTCTGGTTATTCACTTGGCTCTACTTGCAGTGTTTGTAAAAGTGCAAGCAGGTAAATGATTATCTCTGATTATCTCTTTAAAGTTTGTAAGAATGCAAGATGTTGTAGATTTAATGGATTCATGGACTCCAAAGAATTTTTGTGGACTATGAACTTACTGGTGATCTTTCTATTTACTGCATTAGCAGTAGTGTAATGCTTTAGGTGTATCTTAAATGTCTGTTAATTATGGCTGTTCCTGGCAGAAAAACAGTTTAAAAATAAATAAATAAACTTAGTAACTACTGATAACTTAAAATTATATTTCAGGTTTCCTGGTGTTACATTAAAGGGGAAGAAATACAAACCTCTTTTCAATTATTTTATCAAGGTATACAATGTTTATACTTCCTTGATGTTCTGTTTACTATATTTTAATGTCATAATTTTGATTCATTGTTAGTTGGAAGAATCTCAACACTATAAAGTTCAGAAATATGCAGGTATTTGTAATTTGAAAATAAGAGAACATTTTGATCTGCAAAGGGCCAATGTAGTGAGTGGGTTGGCTTTGTATTTTATTTGTGGAAAATATAGCGTGTTGCAGTTCTCCCTGTAATCTTTTTGAGATCCAACTGCATTCTGGCAGAGTATTTCTTTGTTATTCCAGGACTAATTTCTCAGGAATCCTCCCATGGTTTGTATGAGGTAGAATACTAGGAAAACTGGAGATACCTCATGTGTAATTGTGTATGTAGCAGTGGCATGTGTGTTTGTGGAGATTCCCATGCTACCATCGTTAGACAATAACTATATTTGTCCTGAATTGTCCGTCAGTTCTGGAAGTGTGGCAGGGAGGAGTATTTTTTAAATATTATAGCACCAATTTCCCTCGATTCCTTATTTCTATGTCTGGTTTGCCTGACTTACATTGATAACAATGATTTGAAAATCTGCATATCCTTTGTTCCAGTGCAAAGAAAATGGTGCTTTTACTGTAGTGACAGACAACTATGTGAAAGAAGAAGAAGGTACAGGGGTTGTACATCAAGCTCCATACTTCGGTGCGGTAAGTTTAAAGCTGTTTATGCTCTTTCATGTAGAACATTTTTTCATCTTGATTTTTTTCTTTTTGAGATTCAGAATCTTTTTTGATCTAAAAATTGTTCAAAAGTGCATTGTACAAAAAGCCTTAACAAGGGATATGTCTGTTCCACTCCCATTTTAATACTTATAATAATGAAGCTGCACCAGTATTGCATGTTTGCTTTATGTCAAAAACTACTTTGGCAACTCCTAAGGGACTGCTACCTTGGTTAGGCTATTATGTGTTAAAACAGCATATTGGAACACAGTGATTATCTTGTGAAAAACCGTTAGACCGTAAAGTCCCTGAGAACCAATCGTAAAAACTTAAAGGGAGGAGGGAGCGTGCAAGCCAGAGGCTCATTCACACAATACCAGGCCATCATTTTCTGTTTTCATGGAAATAGATGCACCTGTCCTGGATCTTGAACTGAGCAAGATCCAGATTGTGTTATGGTGCTTTGGCCTACTAGAGAACCTTAAGAGTTTGCGGGTGCTTTTGCAGGGCCAGATGATTGTCTCCAAGAATGGCAAAAGATTTGGGCGTACTTTGAAGTGATGTTCCATGTTTCAGTAGATAAGTGTTGCCATAAACCAAATCAGAGTGTCCGCTCCAGTACTGTTGGTAGTGACTGGCACTGAGTTTTTCCAGCCTCACCTGGAAAACCTGGAGTTGAACCTGGGTCCTTTGGTATGCAGGACAGGTGCTATGCCGCTATGGCCATGTCTCTAAAATAGAAAAAGGCCAAGTGCCAGCTCCATTTACCATTGACCCACAGAGCCATTCTGATGCAAATTAAGGCAGCAAAATCTTGGAAGTCTTAGAATTGGTTCTTATGTCAATCTTTGATTACTCAGGGTGTGATTTGCAGCTGAATGTGGAATGGTTAGAAAGCATTTGTCTCTAGTGATAATGTGCAGAACTAGTGATCCATAACAAAAAAGCATGCAAGTTGCCAGTGGTTATTGCTTCATGAAGTGGTGAATATGTTGTATAAATTAGTCTTCTGTTGAAAGATATTTGAGAGTGAGTTTTTAATAACAAAAATATATTTTTGTTCTACTTGTTTGAAGAAGCAAAACATTTTGGAGTATGGAGGAACCATTTACTAGGGGATGTAGAAAAACTGTAAAATCTAGAAGCCAGTTTGAATAACAGAAGACTAGGATTCAGATGATGTCAGATTGTTTTTCTGTCACAGGATGACTACAGAGTCTGCATGGATTTCAATATTATTCAGAAAGATGCAGCACCGGTTTGTCCTGTTGATGCATCCGGCTGTTTCACTGCAGAAGTCACAGACTTTGCTGGACAATATGTGAAGGTTGGTTGTCCTGGGGTTGCTAGAGAAATTACGCTTGAAATAGTACTTGGAAATGGATGAAACATGTGTGTCTTGTCCCCCACCAATTCCCTCCTCAGTATTCTTTGTGAAAATGGTGGAAACTTTGTAACTGAAAATTTATGGCATCTTTACATGGGTTAACTTCCACTGGAGAATGCATACTATTCTTATTGCTATCATGACATCACATATTATGAACTGGAAAACCATATATGCAGTCATCTTAGGGGAGTACCTGACTCCATACACAAAGGTAAAGGTTTCCCCATGACATTAAAGTCCCGTCATATCTGACTCTAAGGGAGGGAGCCAGCATTTGTCCGCAGACAGTTTCCGTGGTCATGTGACCAATGGAACGCTGTTACCTGCCCACCGAAGTGGTACCTTTTCCTCTACTTGCATTTGCATGCTTTCAAACTGCAAGGTTGGCAGGAGCTGGGACGGAGCATGGGAGCTCACCCCGTTGTGCACATTCGAACCAGCGACCTTTCAATCAACCAGCCCAGCAGCTCAGTAGTTTAAACCACTGTGCCACCTGCAGTCCCTTTACTCCATACATACCTGCCTGTTGTTTAAAATCTTCAATTGAGGCCTTTGTACAAGTTCTTCTTCCTAGGGAGGTTAAGGGGGAAGTGGTGAGAAGAAGAGCATTTTTCTGTGGTGGCACCCCAATTATGAAAGTCTTGCCATTGTGGATTTGTCAGGAACCCACTTTATTCAGTTTAGGGGTCTGATGAAAATGTTCCTTTTGCAGCATGCCTATGGCACTACTTAAGCTATTTATATGACAGCACTGGTTTTAATTTTATTTTAAATGTTTTGTTGGTATATTATATATTGTGTTTTGTCTTGTCTATTTATTACAATATTTAATTGTATTTTAGTAATATTACAAATATTTTATTGTAATGGCTGCCCAGAGAGTATTATGCTAATGAGTGGCCTTTATACAAATTAAATAAATAAATCTATTTGTGCCATGCACATACGTGTGTGTACGAGAACACACACAAAACATCGGCTTGGTTCACTTGGGCAAGAGGAGGGCTGTGCCTTAATATTCATAACATTTTTCTGCTTTGTGCCACAGCTGCTCCTGCCGCACACCGTGCTGCGGTAGGGAGCTCCATCATATGAGTGGAATTGCAGTCTTTATGGCGCCAAACTGTAATATTCAATCTAAATTGGCTAAGCTTTGAATCCTCTCCTTCTGAGGGGATCCTTCTGCCTCCCAAGGGTATCTTTAGAAATACTTTTTGATGTTGCTTGAGGAATTGAAGTGGAGCAACATCTAGTGTGTGCTTCTTCAAGGACTCTGGATTACAGCTGTAAAGTGGCATTGTGCTTGGTCTTTATTATGTATTACTACTTTTTTGGTAATTGAGAATACCTGCTAAAGCATTCCTGCAGTTAATTCATGGCACTTCATGCATTGTCTGGCTTTTTTAAAATGCTGGCTATAAGCTTGGAAGTTGCTTTCTTTTTCAGAAGATACCCACCAGCAGATATGATGTTGGCTTAACTGTGTCTTGCTTTGCTTTCCTTAGGATGCTGATAAGAACATCATCAGGGCCCTGAAAGAGCAAGGAAGATTGATCCACACTAGCACTTTCAAGCACAGCTATCCTTTTTGCTGGAGGTAAGAAGAGTTAATACAATTCACATTTAAAGAGTGCACCCTGGTACCAGTAACTGATTCCTGAAAAAGATATCCTGCTTTATTCTTATCTAGAAAGTTAAAAGCAAGTTGCAAACCAAACCCTATTTGCTCCAGAAAATAAAGTGTACCTCTGTCAGCCTGGATGTACAGCATTGCTCACACTGTTAGCAAACAAACAGCATGATGCCAAATTGGACAGAGCAAATTGCAGGAAGGCAAGCTAGCTCCTGCCAATTTTTCCCCGATTCACCCATTCCATTGCACCTTCCTTTGCTATGATGCTATTATCACTGTACCACTGTGCTGCTCTCTGGGGTGGTTTAGCTTGGGGGCAGCCCTGGGGACCTTCCACAGCACCAGAGAGGTGATGGCAGCTGTGCACAAGGAAGCAAAGTGCTGCCTTGGCTACTGAAGCAGCACATTTTAAAAAAAAAAATCCAAACCAAGAATGACAGTGGCCTCAACCTGCCAGATGCAACCTTGAAGGAGTGACCACTGAAGACACTAGAGGAGCAAGTTTATGGGCCTAGTCATCTCATTCTTTCGATACTCTTATCGGCCTAGTGCCTGAAAAGTTTGCATCTGATTGGCTGAGCTCCCTGCATCTCTTGCTCTGAGGGAAAATTATTTAAATTAAAATGGCATGTCATTGTAGCTTGAGTTGGTTGATGTAGCACTCTGTGTATAGAAGTACCTGCTGGTAGGCAACAGCTTTACCTTTTTACCAACCAAAAGAAGGAAGGAAGCCACCAGCACCACTGTGGCCCAAAGATTTTAAAAACTGGGCCATAGGAACCAAAGAAAGAGGAAAGCACTATCATCACCACCTAAAGGTTAAGAAAACTCAAACCAGTAGCAAGGAGTGAGTGAGAAGAGTAGGCCTGCTACCCAGGAGAAGTTTTGTCTTTTTAAGGGTGGGTAGAGTAGCAAGGGTGTGTGTACTTTTTTGTCATGGGAAACCTCACTGGGGCAATGTCCTGGGAGGTGTCTGTGTCCAAAGTCCAACAGGCACCAACCATGGACATAGACCCAGAGAGGCTGCAAATAGGTTGTTGTTGTTGTTGTTTACTTTTAAATTCTAAGGCTGTCAAGGGCAAGCAAAGCCATGAAAGATGTTTGGCTTGTGAAACTTTTCCACCTTCACAAGATTATAAGTGCTTGGAAAAATGAAAAGTACATTCCACCCCATTTTTACAGATGCTGTCTTCTGATGGCTGTCAAAAATAAGACTTCCTTGTAAAAGAGGAATTTAGGCTGGGCTAATAGGGCAGTTTTGACAGGGAAATCTGTATATACAATCGGTATATTTCTCTCTCAAATTTGCAACAGTGGGAACCTTGGTGGGGCTGTCCTTGACTGTCAGCTTAGAGGCTGAAAAAGCAATATCCAAAAGAGAGAAGGGAGTTGGTAGGCACTGCAGTGAATACAGAAGAACTCATGATTGACCCAGGAGACACTGAGCCAGATATGGTTGCTCTACCTTGTTGCTTGAGCGTTGGTAGGGCAGCTGTTACTGAGAGTGGCCTGGACAAGCTTGGCAAGAGCACTGGGGTGCTTTGCTGCTTTTATGACTGACTTAGCTGCTGCTTTGCCAGCCCAAGGTGGATTGTTGTGGCATCTGAACCCAGGTGACTGACCCTCATCTAGGGGTTGCTGCACCCATGACAAGTCATTGGGTTGACTTGTGACCCACAAAGAAGCTGCCCTGCAGGTTCACATGAGTTGCTGTGGCTGGTCACCAGTAAAGGGTCGCTGTGCCATGCAAGCCCAGTCCTTAGTTATATCAGTAAGTTCTGGGAGAAAATGATGGCTAGTGTGCTGAGTCCTAATGCGTGAATATTGCTGGCTTTCTGCAAACTTATAATTTGTACATTAGAAATGGGTTTCATTAGTACATTATTATGCTTGCTTCCCCTTCCTTGCTTCTTTTGTATCTAGCACAAATTCTTCCATTGTCAGTCCTGAGCACAGTTTAGTGTCAACTCTGCTTTGACAGACTAATCATGCTCCCACTTAATCAGGATATGCAAATCTCCTTCACATCCTGATTTCAGATCCTAGTTGGCCCCTTGCAAATGCTGGTATTCTGCTTATAGTAGCCATGGGTTAAATTGTGAAACGCATGCCTTGGGCACCTGATTCTATCTATCTATCTATCTATCTATCTATCTATCTATCTATCTATTAAAAGCTTTTGTATGCCATCATATATTAAATATCTCAGGACGGCTTACAGCAATTTAAAAACAATTTAAAACATCTAGTGATTAAAACAGTGATACTGTATAAAACAATACATAAACTTCAAATAAATCAAATTAAATCAAAATAGACAAAGCAAAAGTGACTGGAATCATTAAAACTATTAACTTTTAAAATAGCACTTAAATATAAAGGTTTCTAAGCTTTCTTTAGATTTCCAATGTGTTCACATTGCTAGCCATCTTGAAATCATTTGCTTTAGGTTATATAGAATTCCACGTTGGAATGAAATTGTTTCCAGATAATTTACTATGGTTGTAAACATGTAGTATTTCAAAGGAAAGCTTTAAAAGCAAACAGTCTTAAACTGTATTCTGTAAAATGAGTTTTTAATTCTCATTTCATATTGGAAAGTTTGTGTTATAGCTCTTCAGTGATTTTAATCTGCAAAGCTTAGTAAACTTACTTATACTACATGCTAATATGCACTTGAGAGCCCTTGAGCAGACAGAGAATTTAAAGCAAAGGGCTGCTCATAAAAGCTCAGCTTTTTCATCTCATATCAAATCTTTTAATTTAGTATTTGTTATGGGGCAAAGTAAACATTCAAGTAGACTTTTAAGAAGCACAAATTAGGCTCACATGAAGTGGCTTGTATGGGTCTTGTGTATTCAGTAAGATTATTTTAATGGTTGAGTGCCTTTTCAATAAAAAGTTTTCCCACTTTAAAGATTAAATGAGGAGCTTCATGTATCCTGATATATTCTGTCTCCCTCTGTCCTGAGGCATGTGATTTAGGATGCCAGCAATAATACTTGAAGGGGCTCTTGTCCACTCTTGCAGGCCAATTTCTATCTGGTAGTGTTACTCTGGCTTGGAGAGCAAGTTCAAAACTTCACTAACTTATTCAGATAGAATACGTAACTATGGTCTGTACTAAACTATAATAAGGAAGTTGCTAACTTGTAACCAATTGAATCAAAGGTGTACGAGTCAGGCCCATGGCTCATTTTAGGATTGTTTTTATGGTGCCAGACTATGGTTTGTTGTCTTTGGACTGAGCCTTGAGCCTGAAGTTATGAAACCAGATGAATGAGGCTTGCATGTCTCATTCCATCATCTGCAAAATTAGCTGCTTGGTTCCAAATTGTGTAATGCTGGTTCATTAATAAAAGGTAAAGAGATACAAAAGCTTTCCTATGAGCAGGTTAAGAGTTTCTGAGCTTTTTTTCATTCCATGTCCTCCCTTTTCATGTTGTAATGTAGATGCTGCCTCTCCATAATACGACAATATGAATGAGAATTGCTGCAGACAACACTGAAAGATAGAGATGGAAACATGTTGGAATATGCCTGCCTGAACTTTTTCTTTATATAGTAACAGTTAGATTAGGTGAGCCATAGGTAAATAGAGCGGTCTGTAAAGTAAGACACATGGGTGAGACTTGGAGGGATATTTGACATGTTTTGGCAGTGTGGAAACTAATAGGATTTTTAAAATAAATTTTGTATTACAAATAGTAGCTGTTCAACAGATTTGGGTGAAAAATTATCTGATATTCTGCAGTTGTGTACGAATGTTGAACTCTGGGGTCAACGATACAGACCTCTCTATTTCAAATTATGGTAATCGATTTTTAGAGAGGTGCACTTGGTTCTTCAGGATAGCTAAAGAACATGTTTGATTTTCTTTATACTATTTCTTTTAGGTCAGATACTCCTCTAATATACAAAGCAGTGCCGAGCTGGTTCGTTCGTGTGGAGCACATGGTGGAGCAACTGTTGGGAAACAATGCTCAGTGCTACTGGTAATCCATTTTCCTTAGTTTTATAGCTGCAAGTCAGTCGTTTTAAAATGCCTTTTTTACACCTAATTTAATAAAGAACCCTACAGATATGTAGCTACACCTTTACTCTGATAATCCAAAGAAGTGATTGACTAGTGGCATGTTGTTGTTCTGATAATGAACACTTACATATGGGGTTTGTCTTATATTAAAACTGAGAATGAGAGCTATTCTACTTGAGCAATCAAGAGGGATTTCTGAAGCATAAGGTAATGTCAGAGTGGGAGTTATTTGGGTTTTCTCAGAGTACCTTGAATGGTAGCAATCCTTTTTAAATGTAGTCCTTTCAGTAGGAGAATTAATGGGTTTTCACTGTACTTAGACTGTACAAAGGTGCTATCTTCTAGTTTTCTGAGACTACAGTTCTGGTATGCTTGCTTTTAAATCCATTATCTAATGCTGCAAAGCTAATAGAATACTTGCATAAGTAGACATGAAGGGACAGTTTCCTCTGAATTTCTTTCAGGACCAATGCCAGAAGTTGCTGTTGTATCACAGCCCTTTTATTTGGGGTATAATATTGTTGATTTTTGGAGCAGGGATTATTCCTATTTCAATTACTTGTACAACTTCTCCAAAATGTTGTTCTCAGAGTGTGTTTATCTAACATGGGCTGGGTTGAAAAGAGTGTAAAGGGTAGGGTTATGCAGAGATACCTTGCTTCCAATATTCCTGGACTCATAGGCTCCACTGTAGACTTCTGTGGGGGGCAGGATATGATTAGAAAAGGTCATAGAGTTCATAGATCGTAGGTACCATAGGTCGTAGATACCTTGGACAGGGGCAGGGCTAGTGCATTTGTTTGTTTATTTACATATTCAATTTATATTCTGCATTAAATTAGTCTGAGGACTCTCTAAATGTATTTATGCAGTTTATGCCCGATGTTCTTTTAGCCAGTCCATGTTCAGGCAAATACCTCAACTGGGTTTAGTATGCTCTAAATATTCCTAAAGAGGTGTACATTTGCCAGTAGTTTTGTGCTCTTTTCTAATTTTCTTCTTGGTTAGACAGTGATGTAATGCATGTGTTTAGGCACATGCATGGGAGGCTACCCATTCTGGCAGGGCTGACAATTCAGATTCCAGCGATGAGACTGTTTTTGAAATGGTTCAAACTCCAGCTTCAGTTCAAGGTCCGGAGACTCCAGAGGAATTAGCTGTGGAGGGGATTAGACCAAGGGCGGACAAAGGAACCAGTCAACCTGGTGGTGGGAATAGGGATGGGTTGCAGGCTGAGACTTTGAAATGGGTAGTTTTTCCAATGGGGAACTCCCGTCTCTTGATGTTGCCATTGGACAGAGGTCTAACTAGGAGCACAACAGGAGCAACAAAGGCATGCCCACTTTCAGAGTATTCCTTCCCTGGGGTGAGATGCAGAAAGGATTATAAAGAGTTTTGGGTAATGAACAGCAGAAAGAGTTCAGCACTTTGCTTTGTATGTACTCAGAGACTCAGATGTAAAAATAAAGATGATTAATAAAGAGATGGTGGTGAGACTGATATTGCTGGAGGGAGAAGTCCAGCTCATGACAGGTGAGTTGGCATTCCAACTCCTGTGTTGAAAGGTGCAGGTCCAAGGGGTTGTGCTCTGCCTCCTTACCACATGCTGGGGTGCCACTCTCCCCTCCTCTTTTGCCTGACAGCAAACATGCATGTGTACTGCTTGATAAGTTTGATCTTCATGTTCAGTGAAGTCCATGATGCTGAAAAAGCCCAGTGAGAACATTTTTGGCAATTTTTGTGTGTTGGAATAAGCTTTACCACCTCTTTACAATTAATGATACAACAGAAAGAAAAGCACGTACCATTTATCAAGGCTAACAGAAAGAAATGTATACAATAGAGCGTGTTGACAGATCTCTTTGCTGTCTACCACTTGAGTCATGTGATAAACATCTCAGAGCGCCAGAGCTCCCTTTCAGTCTGATTTGGGATGCTGATAAATGCAGGGTATTTCAGGGGCAAGTTGCTTCTGTTGTTCATATTTCATGGAGCTGGGAATGGGAAAAAAATTTCCAAGCATTTCTGCATTACTGTTACCGAGGATGGTTTTCCATGGCGATGGAATTGGTGCATATATTATACTATATTTAAGCTGATACTTTGTGTAAATTTCCATAATTGCTTCCAGTGTGAGTTGCTGGCTTGTAATAAAGAAATGAACAGTTCATATTTTAGAAGGGCTACATAGTAAGTGAAATCTAACAGAAAAAAATCATTTTCTTCTGCTCCATGCTTTTACTGTCTCGAAAGTGCACACACTGAAATTATGCAAATGACAATTTGATTATTCTGTCAGAGAGAATGATGTCCCTGCAGAAAAGGTGGTAATCAAACATTTAATTAACTGGCTTTTACTTTCTTCCTTATGGAATGTTATTTGCAGATAAACATTTATAGCTTAACTTTTCATTTATTTTGGCTGTCTTTTGAATTCTGCTCATTCTTCTTAATTCTAGTTTTAAATAGTACTTAAGGCAGGGTGCACAGTGCTGACAATTGTACTAGAAATAGGTCAGCTAGAGGGCTACAGAAGCTTTTGTTGTGTGTAATTGCATATTATGAAGAAAATAGGACTACCAACCTCCTATGTCTTATTAGTAAGGCAAATGCATTGACATTTCTATGCGTACCAATAAGGATGGAGTGTTTAATCCCTCTCCCTAGTAATTCTTCCTTCCAAATTATCCCTTCAGTCAATTTCAATCTTTTCCTTTCATCTGGGCTCCAAAACCAGTCCAGCTGAGGGGAAAAATGTCATAGGACTGCATTTGCAGTGGTAAATTGGTAGCAGGAAGGGTCAAGCACATACTTGCTAGAATAATATGTAATTATAGTCTAAATTTGATGAATAGACAAATGTTATTCTTGAACAGTTTTGCACTTACTCTATTCCCAGAGAGTTACATTCAAATATGAAAAACGTGAGGCTGTCTTTGTAGTGTTGGTATGACCTTTGAAATAAGGATTGTACCTTGTAAAAGCTTATGTACTTTTATCTCAATATTTTCACCTGTAAAGTTTAGGATCTTGATTTTTTTAAAAAAATGAAACATAGCATCTGGAAATACCAATAGGCCTGCTTATAATATATATTCATGGGACCGTATCTTACCACTGCCCATATGAATAGTCTGGTGTGTCACCGTCTCTGTGTTTAGGGATTCAGCAACCCAGAATTAATCCATGGTTTATTGTTGTGTAACATTGAGTTTTTTAATCTCTAAGCTACTCAGACTGCTTGGGCTTCAGACATCATGATAACAACCTACACGTGGTATGATAGTAAGTCAGTAACTGAGATGGAAACAATAAACATGTTTGAGGCACAGTTGTTGCTTTCACCTGTTTTTGACAGACTTGTGGGTAATTAACTCAAGATTGTTACATAAGAAACTATGCTGAATCAGGCCAATGGTCCATCTAGTCTAGCACTCTGTACACATAAAGGCAAACCTGCTGTCCACAGCATCCTCCAAACGGAATGGGTGAAAGACTTCCATCTGCCCAAGCTCCTTAGCAACTGGAGTCTGTAGGCATGCTGCCTATGGTCAAGGAATTAGCACACAGCCAGCAAGACTAGTAGCTACTGATAGCCTCCTTCATGGATCTGTTCAGACCCTTTTTAAAGCCATCCACACTGGGGGCCATCACTACTTCCCATGGCAGCAAATTTCAGTTTAATTATACACTTTGTGAAGAATTACTTCCATTCTGTTTGCTCTAAACCTCCCACCAGTCAGCTTCATGGGATGACAATGGGTTTGTGTGTTATGGGTGAGAGAAAAAAAAACTTTCCCTCCACTTTCTCCGCATCGTGCATTATTTTAAACACCTCTATCATGTTTCCCTTAGTTGCCTTTTTCTAAGCTGAACAGTCTAAGTTGTTGTAACTACTCCTCATAGGGGAGCTGCTCTAGCCTCCTCATTTTTGTTGCCCTTCTCTGTACTTCGCCACTTCAAAGTCCTTTTTCAGTCAAGGCAACCAGAACTGAACACAATATTCTTAGTGTAGTCATAGCAAAGATTTGTATAAAGGAAGTAAGATATTGGCAGGTCTATTTTCTGTTCTGTTCTTAATTGTGCCAAGTGAAGAGTTTGCCTTTTTCATAGCAGCTGTGCACTGGATCAGTTATTTTCATTGATCTGTCCACTACTACCCCAAGATTCCTTTCTTCCTCAATCACTGCTAGTTTAGATGATGTCAGTGTATACTTCAAGTTTTTACCCCAATATGCATTACTTTACACTTATATTGAACAGCATTTGCCATTTTGATGCCCATTCTCCCAGCTTGGAGAAATTTCCTTGGAACTTCTCACAGTCCTCTTTTTGGTTTTAACTGCCCTAAAAAGTTTTGTGTCATCAGCAAACCTGGCCACTTCATTACCCACTCCTAATTCCAGATCATTTATGGACAGGTTGAAAAGCATTGGTCCCAGTACAGAAAATTGTAGGACTCCACTTGCAACATCTCTCCATTTATTCCCACCCTCTTTCTTCTGCTCTTTAACCAGTTAATAATCCATAAGAAGACCCTCTCCCTTTATTCCATGACTGCTTAGTTTGCTCAGGAGGCATTGGTGAAGGCCTTTGTCATAATCCTTTTGGAAGTCCAAGTCAACAATGTCTGCTGGATTGCCCCTGTCTACATGCTCATTGCCACTCTCAACTCCAAGCCATGCTGATTTTTTTCCAGCAGGGCTTGTCCTTCTGTGTGCTTACGGATTCTGTTTTTAATAACACTTCAAGCAATTTACTCAGAACGGATGTTAAGCTAACAGGACTGTAATTTCCCAGATCCCACTTGGATCCCTTTTAAGATATTGAGGTTCTAGTGGCCATTGTCCAGTCCTTTGGCACAAGAACTTATTTTAGGGACATGTTAAATATTTTGGTAAGAAGTGCTTGAGTTCTTTAATCATTCTCAGATGGATACCATTTGGACAGAGTAACTTT